GTGATTTGTGGTTAGGCAGCAGGCAGAAGTCTGGCCCCCTACTGGCTGGTTTGACTGGGTGGAATTTATGCCCAAAGCCAGTGTCTACATGTGTGTTTAATTGCAGTTAATTACTCCACTGTAAGACAGTACTGTCCTTGACTGTACTGTCTTACAGTGGACTGTCCTGTCCACTGTAAGATAGTACTATCTTATGTCAGCATTAATTAGTTTACTGCAGACTAATAGTGTTACACTTGTAGACAGTGATGCTTTGCTCTGCAACTAATTGGTCTAGTGCACAGTTAAGCAGGTGTGTAGATGTTGCTATTGTTTTTCAAAGTAATCTGCAATATTAGTCAATCCTAATACCTTGTGAAACAGGTATGTTAGCACTTCCCATTTTAGAGACCTAGACATGGTAAGGTTAATTACCCGAAAAATACAGTGGGAACAATATTATAATAAACAGGCCATCTTTAGGGTTTACTGAAAACTGCTTCATCCTTACATTTTCTTATGTCCATGCCACACATTCTCTGTATTTTAATTGCCTTCCCAAAGCTTCGCTCTACAAATGCTCCAGAACTGCTGTGGCAGACAAAAGCTACTATTTGTGATTGTTGGACTTGAAAAGTTTGCAAATCTCTGTAGTTATTCCATCTCTTCTTCCTGTATGGCATATCCCAATTAAAATAAATGTGTCCCCAAAGAACTCTGGAGGAAAGGCTGCATTAACAAACAATTTAAGTGAATCAGAAGTAACCCAATCCCTGGTGTATGCAGTATCAGTAATTAGCCTAAAGGCACCATAATGCTGCTAGCAATGAAGCTTAGGCTCAATAAAAATTAAACACTGATGTGGGTAAGGCATCCCAGAGGACTAACATATATTAATACATTTACCACTCACCTGTTGCTTTATGTCATAGAAACTGGGACACAGCTTGAAATTAACTAGCTGTTGAGTCAGCAAAATGGTTACCTGAAACGCTACTAAATCTTTTTAGGACTTTTCAATTACACAAATATATATCTTCCCTGCTTTCCAGGTGTATAACACCAAGCCCTTGTTAAGTAAGTGCTTAAAACACACTTCTTGACAGCCAGGAATTTTGCTTCCCATGTCTAATCTAAACAAATACGAATCACGTTATGATTCATTTGACAAAAGCATTTTATAGAAAAGGATCCCCAACATGAATAGTATATAACACAGTTACACCCTATGATCAGAATGACCCAGTATGCAGTGGGCACATCTACATGTTCATTAATGCGCCTTAGGTACTGCACATTTAGTTTAGTATTCACTTAATAAAGTACTAACTAAATGTGCAGTAACTTTTGCTACTGCACAGTAGCACCAGAGCACAGTTATTTTGTGATGCTTACTGTGCATTAGCCTAATAACACCGCACAGTTGGCTATTAGCATTGTTTTGAAGCACCATACTATTGCTCAGTGTTGTTAGACTAATGGGCATAAGCATCTCATGTAGATGTGCTCAGTAATAATGAAAACATCAGCACTTCTCAAAAGGCCCCACCAGTTTCAGCTGAATCTGATCTATATACTTTTAATCACATTTCTTCTGTCTCAAGGCCATTCTGCACAAGACTGCATGCTATCACCAGTCAATATTGTTCACTATTTCGCTGTTGATCATTTTAGCAGAAATATCCTGTTACTCTGGGATTACAGGAGAAATTTAGGTGTGAAAATTCTATAGAGATTGACAATAGCACACAGGAACCTGACATTTTGGAGCAGATTACTTTGAGATTATAAGTGTAGGAAAGTCAAGCCCCATTACCATTTCCTCTACTCATCTGCTCCTGCTCAGCTCCTTGTGGCTGCCTATAAGTTCATCACGGGGGCACAGAAGGGAATTGGGGAGGGTTTATTCACCAAGGCGCCCCTGGGGGTTACAAGAAATAATGGCCACAAGCTAGCAGAGAGCAGATTTAGATTGGACATTAGGAAGAACTTCTTCACAGTTCGAGTGGCCAAGGTCTGGAACAGGCTCCCAAGGGAGGTGGTGCTCTCCCCTACCCTGGGGGTCTTCAAGAGGAGGTTAGATAAGCATCTAGCTGGGGTCATCTAGACCCAGCCCTCTTTCCTGCCTATGCAAGGGGTCGGACTCGATGATCTATTGAGGTCCCTTCCGACCCTAACATCTATGAATTAAGCATCCATCTACCGTACTTCAGTGAACTATGCAAGAAAGGCCTGGATCAAATTCTGTCCTCAAATACATGCCCATCTCATAGTTGATAGGGGTTGTATCAAGTTATTTTAGGACAAAAACTGACTGTTGAACCAAGTTCACCCTTCAACTACCTCTACAGATTTCTCTCAGTTACAATAGGGATGGACTTGGTTGATAACCTATTAAAGATGGTTACCATATTTTCCAGCCTGAATAGTTGAACGTAAACTACTAAGGACAGAATACTGTGACCCTGCACTGAATTCTAGAATAATATGCATAGATACATTTATTGAAACTATTTCTGGAAATCCAAGTTTTTTCTTCTGATCTGTACAGGAAGAATGATTTGAAAAGACATAAGATAAACAACCAATATTATCTTGGCTATGTCTCCACTGACAGTTACAGTCAATCTTAAGGTCATTCCCATCCCCACTGACCACACGTTCCGTGAGCTCCTGCTATCACTTGCATCCAAGCCTGCCCCTCTCTGTGGCCTGTAGACATCTTAATGCTACACTTAACTAAAAAAAAACACAACGTAGACTGCTTTTAAACAGGATACAGAGTGAGTAGAGGAAGGATGAACTGATTAAGGTTGATCCTAAATAACAGTATGGATATACCCAAACTTGTTAAAGGAATATGCCCAAATTGATCATGCCTGCATCTAGTGGTTAATAAGATGATGTCATTCTTCCTTTAGAATATGTGGTAGAATTGTGATTTTTAGGTCCTGACAGTAACAAATTCTATTCCCAATACTGATCACAGTTTACACCTGCTTCTTTACAGTGGGGTTTTCAAAAGATGTTCAGTGCTGACCTAGCTTTGCATCCAGTAAAATCAAGGGGTTTGACTTTAATGGAAACAGGATCAGGCCACATTGAATGTTTTTGAAAATTCCCCTTTTAAATTACCCCATTAATGGTTCAGTTCTGCAAGATTCTTCCTTATTATCTGAGAGCACTTAGGATCATCACTGAGTCAGCCTCTGTAATCCCAACTTTCCAATTTATTCCATTAAAAAAAATCAAGATATTGAATTTGTAAAAATAAAATATTCCATTTATCAAATAATTAGTAAATGACCGTCTAGAAAAGAACAGTTACAAGTCTTAGATCTCAGTGGCAGCATAGGGCGTATGGCTATAAGCATCATGCATTTACAGCTCCAAAACTATCCATCACCTTAAAAAATCAGGTAATTAACAGAAGATCACGTTTCAAAATTTTCATTTCTTGTCAAGAAGTCATGACTGATGGCAGCCCCTTCTAATTAGCCTCAATTTGTTATTCAAAGATCCACTTAATTTTAGTTCATGCACTAGAGCCTCAAATTTTCATAGGTAATAGTGAACGATCACTGAGAAGGATAAATGGATTATACCCAGAGCATCCACAGAATAGCTTTAATTCCCATGAATATCACATGTTAATTAATGCTCACCTTTCTCAGAAGAAAGCAGATGCGCTCAATATTTCTCAGTCGTTCTCGCTGTCAAAAAATGCAGGATAAAAGGGATTGCGGGTTAGATCCTGTTATGAATGCAATAAAAGATATTGCTAATATAATGGGTCAAAAATCATCTCTACCTTAAATACAAGCCTCAATCATTGCATTCAGGTCAGAAATATATCTCTCTTGTCTACAGCTATAACTGTGATTTTTGTAATTATCTTAACATAGCCTGTCCAGTGGTGTAGACACCGGGATGCTGGAAGCTCAGGGGTCAAGAGTTCGAGGCTATAGCAGAAGCTCCCAGGCTGCAGTCCTGTCAGATTCCAATGAATCTGCAAATTCTGCTAAACACCTTGTCACACAAAGATACAAGAAAGTAAAGGATCTCAACATCCTTTTGTGTTAAGTAATTATTACCCCAAATTTCAGATGAGAAAATCTTCCAGAGACCAAACTAAGCCATGAAGTTCACATTGCTAACGTTTTAAAGTCAATTTTCGTCCACACCTAAACTAGAACTGAATTGCTCCAGAAAAAGCAAGGACAAAACTTTCAGATTCACTTTGACTTCAGGAGTGCTTCCACATGAAGATCAAATGCAGATCTGTACAACATAGGTACTTCTATAACTAGCACATGTGTTAGCAATCAGGCTATAAGGAGGGCACGTCCAAACAAGCAAGTACAGGCATTTCCCCCGGGACACACAGTAGCGGCACATATTTTGCCACTGCTAGCTCTCCCTGGGGAATGGCCCTGCACAGGTGCTCTGGCCTGCAACAAGGTGTCCCAAGTGAGGTAGGGGAGGCTGGGGCCAGCACCTGGGCTGGGCCTGGCATCCTTACCTGGGGTCCTGGGGACCTCCCGGGGCTCTAGCAGCAGTGATCCAGGTATGTGGACGGCAGCCAAAGCGTGGTTCTGGAAGGCCAGACTCCAGTTTCAGGCGGTGCATGCTACTGCCACATGTGCTACCCCAATTTTTTTCCACTTTTTTTAATTTTTTTTTTTTTTATTGTTCCCAGGATCTCCCAGTATCTAAATTTGGCTCCAGAACCAAATCATGAGCATGGAATGCATTTTGTGGCACCACAGAAGTCTTTAAGTCACCACAAAATGCACATAAGCACTCATGTGGACATGGCCTTAGAGTGTAGTTGTAATGTCCTAAAATGTTCAATTAAATACATTACATTTTTCATTTATATATTTCACGGCTATGAGTCTTTTAAAAGACAACCTATTTAATTTTTTGCTTTATTTTCTTTCTGTATGCTGGATCTTCTGTATCCTACTGTAACACTCAAATGCACGATCTTTCAATATATTTCTGTATTTATAATGTCCTAGAATGTTCCCAGTTTAATACATATGCATATACATATGGAAAGATCCTGCACTTGAGTGTTACAGCAGGATACTACAGACCCAGCATACAGAAAGAAAATAAAGCAAAAACTTACACAGGTTTCCTTTTAAAAGACTCATAGGTATAAAATTAATGAGCAAAACCACTTTTCGCAGTAACTAGATACAAGACTAAAATCACCAAGTGAGATTCTGATCTTGGCTACATCAGAACAGATCTGAAGTATCTTTACTGTACTCTTAGGAATTTCTCTTCATTTACCATGGTTCAGCACAGAATAAAATTTAGTGCACTGCACTCAGGAAGAAGGAGCCACCTGAAAGGAGAAGCAAATATACCTCCTCTTACAGTAAATTAGAACAGTGGCTCTCCTGAGGGACACTAATCTTTTCCTGTAGGCGTGGCAAAAGGCACCTGTACAGCAATCTTTCTTAAGCAAATAATGAAATGAAACGATGTGTGAAGGCAACTCTCTCTCAGCCTTCAGTGGTTAATCCACTGGTTTTAATTTGATTTTAGTTGGTAAAAATATTTCCCTGCACTTCCCCCCAAAAAACCCTTTTTCACCCCACACATCAAATGTAATCATTTTGTCAAAAAAAAAAAGTTTCAACTTGGGGAGAGTAGTAGGTACAAGAAAAATAATATGTCCTTCTATGACACCTTTCTTCCAAAGAAAGTCATACAGCATGACAAGATTCATGCAGCTGGCTGTCAACCTGGACAAAACTTTACTGGCTTTAGTGGGAAGTGGATATAAGGACTGCCAACATGGATCCTGTTCTCAGAACAAAGATGGAGTAGGGCTGATCTTCTGAAACAGGATACAGGATCTTTTGGTTTAGGCACTAGCATAAGAGTCAGATGAACTATGTCTACTGCTCACAGTTTTCTTGTCTAATCTCTCTGTGTCTCAGATCTCTGTTCCTGACTGCTGATTCTTCTGCACCCTAAATTCTCTCTCTACTGCCTGTTAAGCAGAGATAAGCCCAGACACAAAAACAAGGCTGATTCCTAGAACAGCTCTGCTTCACATAAAGCAACATGAATAGCTGTGGTGCATGATATAAGGTAAGATAAAAATAGGAAAAAGCATCTGAATGACTTGGGCTGGTGGAGAGCAAACCTCAACATAAGTATAGGTGTACCCTTGGACCTCTGCCTCTAGGCACAAGGTGTATGACAGTGTCTCTCATCACAGCTAGTCAGCAAAGCAATTTAGTACATAGGAAGTGAGTCAGTCTTGGATAAAGGGGTCATTCCACTGCTTGAGTACAAGAAAAGGATTTTAAAGGGAGAAATAGATCTCTGAATGGAGAGGTGCATGAAAACCCTACCTACCACATTACAGCTTCAGTTTCTAAGATTCTGAAGTGCCCTTGTGCCACCTTCAACAGGAAAAGAAATTCTTTCCATAAAGAAGCTGCATGTTACTTTATCCAGACTACAATAAGATTCTAAATCAAGAGTAAGTAGTATTTTCTCTTAAAAACTACAACCACATTTATTATAGACTTGTATGTACATTTCCAAACTTATGTTTGTTGATTGCTCAGTATATCTTCTTCCATCCAGTAGCTAATGATTAGTTAACTTTAAGGTATACTCACTGCATGAGCAGGGTTGCACTGATCTATGGGGCTTTTGAAGTCTGTCCTTAACTCATCAAAGGCGATTATCTGCAAGAAAATATTTTCAAACATTTTAACAAAAGCAGTAATTTGATAAAACATCTATATTTTCCTTTATAACCGTTAATAAATCCCATTCTGACCTACTTGGGTCGCAATTCTTCTCAAATTAACTAATGAATTTGCACCTTTATGTTTTGTATCATCTTTCTGAACACACAAACACATATATATGAATTCATATATATCTCCAAACATACATACATACATATATAATGTTCAGTAATAGTATACAAAATAGTGTGTATATCACATGTATATATGTATATCATCATATGTATGATATATATATATCACGAAACAAATGTAATCTACAAGAACATTATACAAATAGCAAGTCATGCCACAATGGACAAATTTTTTGACCACTGCCTCACTGGAACAGTCCTTCAGTAAACACAGACCGTTATTGGAGGGATCAGACTGTAAAAATGAATTAATTTCCGTATAAGTAAATGCATCAAATAATAGTTCTAATATTGAGAGGAAATGCTAGTAAGATTTTAATTGGAGAAGTTGAATTTGTTTTCACTATTGGAACATCAAGGTGTTGACACAGCTTGCTATTTATCAGAATCATATAATTAGAAATAAGAAAATCCTGTTAGGCTACCTAGTCCATATACCTACAGTCAAAAAGAGGCCTTCCACAAGAGCAAAACTCTCAATTTTTCATATAACATTGGAGCTGGTTATACTTTTCCTTTAGTTACAGGGAGAGAAAAGCTTTTTCAAACAAAACAAAAAAATCCACAAAAAATGTGTTCTCCTTCAGAATTTACCAGTTGTTGAGTTTTTATTTTGAAATAAATTGTTTCATTTTGGATTTTGAAAATATTTGGGGTTTTAATTTTTCAGTTTTGTTTTTCTCTCTCTCCCCTCTATTCTTTATTGTTCATCTGAAAAACCTGGAATAAAGAGAGAGGGGATTAAATTTATTTAAAAAAAAAAAAATCCTAAAACTCAAGACTGCCAGCTGAGGCTGCTCCGCTGTGGCTCTATATGCTGTGGTCCTGGGTATACATACAAACGTGGCACCCAGGAGCAATAATTTCAATGCGAACTGTGCCAGAGTTTATTCAGCCGCATTCATTGTACATGTAGACATGCCTTGTAAATTCCAAAATTGTAGTCAGGCAAAAGCTAAGAAAAGGTGCTGTCCTTTGTTTTAGCCTAATAGCTGATTGGTTAGGGCAACTGTATTCCTCATCAAACCTCTTCATCAAAGCCAGTGAGTAGATGGGCAGTTGCTCAGGAAGTGAAAGATCCAGGTTCTAGGACTCCCTTGCTACAGCAAGTTTGAACCTACTTCCCAGTATAATATTATAGCCACCAGGCTACAGATCAGCTGTTATCCAGTCATTTCTCTAGCCCTCTCCCCTTTGGCAACTAGAAGAGGGAGATACATAGGGTAAGGAGGAAAACTACAAGAAAGGGTGGGTGTCTGGATACTGGCCTGGAATAGACCTGGAGCCTTGTTCCTGCTCAGGTAGAAACTTCCCCACTGTACTGTTTTTCATCTATTTTATCCAATGACTATTAAATGCAAGGGATAGTGGCTCAGGCTCATAAGGAGGGCTGGAGAAGGGCCTGGATTATGTCTGTGGCATGCCGGCTAGAGTACTGGAATGGGAAGTCAGAATTACAGGCTCTCCCAACCACAGAGGACCTAGAAAGCAGGTCTCTGGCTTTCTGGGTGAGTGTCTTAACCACTAAGATACTGGAGCTAAGGTATGGGAGGTCCCTCCTTTCTCCCCATAGTCCTCCCCATGCTTTTTTGCCTGGTTTGTACCCTCCCAGGTACACAGGGGCAGAGCCATATACTTGCCCAGCCAGTGTGCAGCCTACTGTGCAGCCTCCATCACCTGGTAAATGCTCTCATGTCTACACTGGAGGGGTGTCTACACATGCACTTTACTGCAGTTGACTAATTAGCTCTGCAGTAAAGCATCACCACCTACATGTGCACTGTGCATGGAAAATCATGAATGTCTGAAGAAATATCCAAAGGAGTTTACAGAGGAGACGCTTGGAAATGTTGATGGATATCTGTTGTATAGAAGAAGACCAGGCAGAACAGTTCAAGCTGGTAAGGACACAGTGGATAACAGAAACGTGGTACCCTATCGTAAGTAGCCTATTTTTGCCCACCATTTTTGATGGGCTTTTACACTAGTATTAAGTGTTTCTGTATAGTACCATAGATGTGTAGGTACAATACAGAAAAAAAGGAAAGTTAGTTCCTTCCCAGAAGAGCATACAGTTTAGAAATCTATGACAGTTCACGATGCCAGAATACATGACACCCAGCAATTAACATGGGAGATTGTAAATGAACCTCTTCCCCTTAAGTGGAACTATATCTGTATAAGTAAGTAGTATTCTGCATAATTTGCACTCTGCAGCAATTAGATGATTAAAGGAGAGAGAGAAAAAAAAAGAGTATAAAGGCTCTGTGACAGTTGTCACTATCTGATTATCAAGAAAAGGCTCTGTATAGCAACTTTTAGTCCTTGTGCCCATTTGAACACTTTTTCATTTTCTCCTGTTGAGCTAGCTGAAATCATAACGCAGAGCAATGCAGTTCAGACAATACTGCTTATATATATTATTATTGGTGGAGGAAGAATAGTTATGAGGCTAAAGGATAAGAGTGGCAGGTTCTGTTCACAGCTCTGCCACTGATTCACTGTGAGAGCTGGCACATCACTTAACCTCTCTGTGCCTCATTTTTTTCATATCTAAAGCTAGGATCCCCTGCTCATGGGACTTATTTGAAGATTAGCTCTGTAATATGGAAAAAGCACGCTAAGCACTTCTCTAGATAGAAGCTGCTATATAAGCGCCAACCCCATAAGCTGAGGGCAGAAGTATTTAGAGATATAACTTGAAGAAAGGAAATTGGTTAAAAGGTCTGAGTAACCAAATACATGTTTTTTTAATTAGATAACAGAAAAACTGCTTCATTATGCTATTCTGCTTAAAGACAGAGCTCAGCTGAAATCTTCCCAAAATTACAAGTAGAATGAATTTGCTGGGTCATTCATCCTAGTCCCTTCTTTCTACCATATGCTAAGGCAGTACACAGCTGTGGAGTAAGAATATCATCAGTGAGGGTCTCTGCTCCAGACAGACCAGGCAGGGGAATAAAATTGTGCTGCAAATCTGGAGCAAGAACTGGAATCTTAGGGTCAGAAATGACTTGCATTGCAGAGCTCTACATTCAAAGTCAACTCCTACCTAACCCATTGCTCAAAGTTCCACTCCTTTGAGGCTCTACATACACTCAGGTTTTTTCTAAAAACCTGCACTTAGCCCTGCAGTCCCCAAGTTGACAGGACATGTGAACACCATGGAGGTACTAGTCTAATCTCTGGATACTAAGTATGCACTGCATGCTATCATTTTAGCATATGTATCAATGATCTGAGTACAGAGAAATAGTAGTGCTCCTCAGGGGAAGCGGGTACATAGCGTTTCTGCTTTTAAATGAAAGATTTTATGATGATTCATGCTCAATACAAGTGATAGGGTGTGCCTGGTAGAATACCATCACTGTACCTAGTAAGGCTGGAGTAACTACAAATGTACAGAAACTTAGTTAAGGTCTTTCACACATCTTTGAAACCAAGATGCCGAGTTTCTTTGGACCATTAAGGGGTCCCCTGAAACAGTAAGCCAAAGAAAGGAATAATTAGCATGTCCAAATCTCATTATTTTATAAGTCTTATACAAATTGGTACTTTTTGTGAAGGAAATTAAATTACTAGGCTTACTACCATATTTACTTGAATATAAAATTACCATGATTATAAGGTTGTTATAATTTTCCAGGTATAAAATCTATAGACTTGCCTTGAAATTGTCACCCTTCCACTGCTACAGCAGGGAAAATAAATCTGGGGGATCAGGTAGCCCCTTCCCTCATCCTGCTCCCCCTCCCCCCCATTACTGGCGCACACTGCTCTTCCTGAGTACATGGAAACAATAATCAAATTTGAAAGCACTAACCTTGAATTAAATATAGCTATAGAAATTTGCATATACTAAACATAAACTTAGTTTATCCAGAATTGATGCATGCTACCTTTTTTTAAATTGCTGCAATTTTTAACAATGGTACTTCATAAACACACTTTTAAGCAGCACTTTGGTACCGCTTTACATATAGTACAAATTGGGTATGTCTACACAAGACGCTTTACTGTGCAGTAGACTAATCTACTATGAAGTAGACTAATATACCGCACAGTAAAATGTTACCGCCTACACGTGTGCACCATTTACTGTGCAGCAAATTAGTCTACTGCACAATTAGCTACTACCTGTAAATACAGGTAGTAAAGTAACTGTGTACTAGATACTGTGCAGTAGCACATGTATAGATGCTGGCCAGAAGCAAATTTCCTTCCAGTCAGTCCTAACAACAGGGGGCTAGAGGGAATTTCCCCAGTCTTAGAGCTGGTCAGCTCCCAGCTCCCCCCAGGAGGTGGGGGCTGAGCAATGCCAGAACCAGGGAACTCTCTGCTTCCCTGCCCAGCCAGAGGCTGACCAGGAACTATCCCACTTCTGAGGCAGCTCCCAGCCAGCCCCTGGTTGTGTGGGGCAACCCCACTCGGCACAGAGCTTGTCCCATGTCCACAGGGCTGGGAGAACACCTGATGCTCGTGGGAGCAGGAAATAGCTGTCACAGCAGCTGAATGAGTTCTCCTGACCTTGTGTGCATTGGGACCAGCCACACGCTCCCTGCCAGCCCCCTGGACTAGCACACTGTGGGAGGCTGAAGATCCCCCTGGCTGCTGCAGGGGCCCAGAGCAGGGTAGAAGCAAATTGCTCCCAACAGGGAGAACATGTAGATGTGCTCCCAAAGATGGTTTACTGTGCAGTATTTTACTATGCAGTAAGCCTTTATAGCATTAATAGCACATGTAGAGTCTAAAGCCATAAGGCTCACAATTTACCATGTAGTTCATTGGTCCAGGCCCCAGCA